CTTCCTTTTGAGAAAGCTTTTCGCTCAATCCTCCTTTTCAACCACCGCCAGGGATGGCAGGAGCCTGGATTAGCAGTTACTGCCTGAACATTGAGGGTTTTCCCAAAATCCTATATGCCACCCTACAAAAGCTCAGAGTCAAAGATCATCCCGAGTATGAGGGCCGTGAGTATGAAAAGCATGGCACTGGGTAGTGTGAAGTTACCGTCTATATTGGAAAGAGTGAGGAGTTCCTCGATGTCACCTTTGGCCTGGAATGTGACTACAATCGGGTTTCGCTTCGTCGACACCTACCAAGTTATGACCCACAAAGCTTTACGTTACCTTTGCCAGATCTATGAAGAGCCCATTGCTCGTACCCCCATGAGGTTCTTTCCACCTTTGGAAAAGAATCGATGGGCATGGAGGGCTCGCATGGAGGCTTTGTAAGGGTAGGATGTGCAAGAAGACAGTCCAACCGTGGTACACTTGATCACGTACTTGCTTGCTCTGGATGAGCAGTATGACGACAAGCCTCGGAGCTGAGGAAATGCCTCCGGCGAGCCGAGGAAGCCAAGATCTTCTCTAGGATGCTCTAGGTGCAGCTTGCCGAAGCGCATGCCAGTGCGACAACCATAGAGAGTCGGGAGACTACCATGTCGAAAGCCCTAAAGGAGGCTGAAGATCAACATGCCCATCAGTTGGGAGAGGCCTACCTTGTCACCAGGGCCAAGCGTAGGATGTTGGCCGCTGAAAGATAGGATCCCTTGATCTTGGAGGGAATCACTGTCCACCCGCCGAAAAGAAGAAGAACTGGTTTTACAGTACCGCCAGCACCCCCACCCTTGGAAGTGTCAGAAGTAGAGCCCTTGCTTCCCCTCACTCAGCCACTGCCAAGAGAGGAGGCAGATCCATAGCTAGGGTAGTAGAAGAATTCGTCGAGCCCGGGAATAAAGATATGTGGTCCAACAAAGTAGATTAGTTGCCTTGGTAAGATATACCCGTAGTTAGTGGTGTCTTTCGTTGCTGTCCTCTAGTATTGTAATCTTTCCGTTGTATTTTGTCTGTAGTTGTTGAGATCGTGTGGTCGTAAGGAAGGCAAAGATGTGCCGAGTGGGAGAGTGAGTGCCTGTATGTTGTACCTGCACACGGACGTCTAGAATGTGCATTTCATTTATTTCGCTGTGTTTATTGCGTCCATCTACCTTAGGTCTCGTTAGACGTGCTTAGGGTTTTCAAGGACGATGATAAGTGGGTTACAAGAGAGCCACCATTCAGATGCCAGCAGATCGGCCATGATGGGATAACGTAGGACACTGTATCAACTAATTGTGGATGTCCCAGCAGAACATTTGAATATCTTTAAATCAAATCCGTTGTGAAATTTGAATTTCTTATCCCTTATTGCGAAAGGAATCTTTGTTGTCTGGATCTTTTCTTGCAATACTCCTCTGATTCTGTGGTCTATGACCCCACCGCCTTCATTGCTTGTAAGTTGGTAATAGTTGCCTGGTTAATAGCTTATGGTGCTGCGACGAAACCGAGGGCCTCTGTGGAACAACTGCCACATGGTGACGTTGCTCGACACGCGCTGGTATCGACATTGTTGACCAAGTATCTTTACCAAGTTACTTGAACCATATACACAGTGAATAGCGATATAACAACAACAATAACGGCTTGTAATAACGGATGCTAAATGTTATAGCACCCGCTATACTATCTTTACCCCAGTATCTTATACGGAGTACTCTCTCCATCCACAAAAGAATGTAATTCTCGTTTTTTCAAGAAATCAAACAATTTAAACTTTGATTAAATTTATAAAAAAAGTGCAAATATTTACTATACAAAGTAAGTACTATTTGATTAGTTATAGGATATATTTTTATAATAAATTTATTTAGAGATATAAATCTTAATAATATTTATTATAAATTTAATTAAATTTGAGCTTATTTGATCGACAAGTATCATATAGTTATGCTCTTCTACGGACGGATTACAGCGGTAGCATAGAAGCCGTTATCGCTCTAGCGGCCGCTGCCCCGCTATTTTAATACTATCATCGCTATAAAGGATTTTTGTTTCTGTTGTTCTGGCTTGTGAATTTGCAACTCGCCGAGTGGCGACAGGTGAAAGATTCGATGCTCTAAATGGCCGTCAGTATTTTGTACTTTTTTTGAATAAAGAAATTGGTGGGCTGGCGATCGCTAGCTCTTCTTTGTGACGTCTGTGACTGATGTGTTTCCCGGGCGTGAGAAATACTGGGAGGATAAGCACAAATATCGCAGAGGGGCAAGATCAAAAGGCCATACAAATAACTACACGTCGGCGTCGGAAGTCGGAGTCGGACCCAACCCAATGAATCAAGCAGCAGTGACTGACAGTGAATCCGGTGAGCATCAAGCCATCGCCCACCGCCCATCGGTGCACTGCTGCACGATTTCCTCATGCCATGTTTACATTATAAAAAATTTCAAACTGATGAATAGTAGAACTTTCGTTTTATTTGGTAAATATTGTCTAATAGTAGACCAACTAAGCTCAAAAGATTCATCTCGTGATTTCCAACTAAACTATACAATTAGTTATTTTTTTATCTACATTTAATGCTCCATGCAAATGACTAAAAATTAATGTGATAGAAAAAAAATAAAAAAAATTAGAATTTGAAGGTGATCTAAACAAGGCCTCAGTCTCTTACGGACGGTCATTATGACATGAACCTGCCTGAGCTGACCGCATTTGATTTGAAGGTAGTACGAGGCAAAGTATACCGTGAAAACCACCGAAAACCTAGGCCTTGTTTACGCCTCGTTTAGTTTCACCTTAACTTCTAAAAAGTTGCTACAGTACCTGTCACATCGAATGTTTGCGGCATGTGCATGGAGCATTAAATGTAGACGAAAAGAAAAACTAATTACACAGTTTAGTGAGAAATTGCGAGACGAACGTTTTGAGCCTAATTAGTCCATGTTTGAACACTATTTACCAAATAAAAACGAAGGTGCTACAGTAGCCCTAAAATCCAAATTTCACGAACTAAACAAGGGCTTAGTTCATCAAAACTTCCAACTTTACTACTATACAAAAAGAAGATTCCTCGTCACATTAAACTTGCAGTACATGCATAGAGTACTAAATGTTGACGAAATCAAAAACTAATTGCACAGTTTGGTTGTACTTTGCGAGACGAACATTTTGAGCCTAATTAGTCAACGATTAGACAATTATTACCAAATAAAAACAAAATGTTATAATGTAGCTACAGTGCCGACGAATTCAGCCGACGTCGAATCTGGCCGGAACTAAACGCAGCCCTAAATTTTGTTTTAAAAAAGCGCCACTGCCTTCCACCTCCGCCGCACACGTTGCCACACGCTCTTCCGCGGGGCCCCACCCTGCTGGCTTTTTCCCTCACCCATCCCATGCAGCGCCACTGCCTTCCACCTCCGCCGCACACGTTGCTCCCCAACTCCAGCACTCCTTCCCTCCCCAGTCTCCAGCCCTGCGCGCTCCCGCCGCGGGCTATCTCCGACAAAAATATAAGGCCAGGTTTAAGGCCTTATTTAGATTGCCCCCAAATTCTAAATTTTTTCACTCTCTTTTTATCACATCAATTTTTGGACGCATATATGGAGTATTAAATGTAGGTAAAAAAAACTAATTATAAAATTTGATTGTAAATCACGAGACGAATCTTTTGAGCCTAGTTAATCCATGATCGGACAAAGTTTGTCAAATACAAACGAAACGTGCTACAGTGTCCAAATTGTAAAAAATTGCAATCTAAACAAGGCCTAAGGCCCGTTTAGATTCCAAAAAATTTTGCGCAGTACCCGTCACATCGAATCTTACGGCACATGCATGAAGTACTAAATGTAGACAAAAAAAACTAATTGCACAGTTGGGTGAGAAATTACGAGACAAAACTTTTGAACATAATTAGTCCATAATTAGACACTAATTACCAAATACAAACGAAAGTGCTACAGTAGCCAAAATCCAAAATTTTTTGGATCTAAACGGGGCCTTAGTTCGCCCGAATCGGCGCCGCCGAACACACTGTAGCAATACCATAGCAACAGTAGCGTTTTGTTTTTATTTGATGATAATTGTTCAATAGTTGACTAATTAGGCTCAAAACGTTCGTCTCGTAAAGTACAAACAAACTGTGCAATTAGTTTTTGATTTCGTCAACATTTAGTACTCCATGTATATGCCACAAATTTAACGTGACGGAGAATCTTTTTTTTGCGTAGTGTCAAAGTTTGGAATTGAGGGTGAACTAAACACCCCCTAAGAGAGATTCGTTCTTCGATAGTACTGTAGATAAAATGTTTCGTATCTTTTTAGCATCTTCTTCGACAACCAGATCTAAATCAGAATTTTTCTGCAAATAGATTTTTAGAAGAGAGGACGTCTCGTGCCTCTTAGACAAATAGATCTCTCAATCTCTCGTAAATATTACGTTGGAGGCTGATTTTTGGTGTTAGTTCGAGTAGCCCTGGGTTGTTTTTTTGGAGACAGTCCGCCGCATCGCCGTCGCCGTCTTCGTCTCGGCCTCTCGGCGCTCACCTCACCCTCCGCCCTCGCCATGGGCCACCTACTATAATAATCTGACGGCGAGTCGGCGAATGAGCGAAAGGGAAAAATGCGAATCGGAAAAGTCCAGCGGGCGACGACCAGGACAAGGGGGCGGACGCCGGACGCCGGACGCGACGCGCCACCGCGGCGGCGTGTGTATATAAAAGCCCCCTCCTCCGGTCCTCCCCGAGTCTCCACTTCCCCCCAACCCCGCAACCACGGCCCTCGTGCTTGGACCCGGTAACCCGGACTGGCTGCGCGCCAATTCGCCCGACGCTCTCGCTCCTGCAGCCTGCTCCTCTCTTTCCCTTCTCGCCGCGTACGTACGCCCGCCCACCCCGTTCGCGCCACCTAACCCCCCGTCCACCCGATCCCGAGGCTAGCAGCACTAGGCGTCGTCCTCCGCAGGAACGGCGGCCGGGCTCCCGCCGATGGCGGCGTCCCTCGCCGCCGCCTCCGCCTCCGCCGCGCGCCTCGCCGCCGCCGACGAGGTGCCGGGGTCGGCGCGGCCTTGCTGCCCCGGGAGGCTCGCGGCGAGCTTCCCCTGCGCCGGGCGGCGCCGGCGCCCCGCCGCGGGCGTGCGGTGCGGAGGTGGGGGTTTGCCCGCGGCGGCGGCGGCGGAGGCGGAGGAAGGGGGCCGCTTCGTCGGCTGGTTCCGGGAGGCGTGGCCGTACATCCGGGGCCACCGGGGCAGCACCTTCGTCGTCGTCATCTCAGGGGAGGTCGTCGCCGGCCCGCACCTCGACGGCATTCTGCAGGTATCCCTCCCCCGCACCTCGAAGGAAGTGAAACGAGATGCTTGCTGTGATGCTGATGGCTCTGTTCCACGCAAACTGAAGAGGTTTTTGCTGATTTGATTTGGTGCCAATTTGGAGGGAGGCTGTTTATGAAATCGATTGACTTTTGGATGATGTTTGAAAGCAGTGAAATGGCTATTTTTCTTTCTTTAGGGGAAAAACATGTCTTTATTAAAGTATCAGGAACTGAAACTACTTACTTTTATCACCTTCACCGAATTGAGAGAATCGACCCTTTTCATAAGCTTCATAGTGTTATAGTGGCGGTCGTAAGCGGTATTTCAACCATTTTCAGGCCTGATTTTAGTTCACCTATTGATCGAGTTATATATCAATTGAGCTTCTACGAGACGAGGTCACGATAATTAGTGAAAGTTGCTCATTCCGGTGGGTTTATGATTTTTCGGGCCTTCTTTGACTCACCTACCGTTTTGTTAAAAGGATTTCAGCTAACCAGTTGCACGTGTATTCCAACTTTCCAATATAGTCTCAGTTATCTTTTTCTGTCCTTCTCACCCAGTCTTGCTCCGAAAACTATTATTTTGCAAAATCTTGGATAGCTTTGCCTTTTGCTTCTCTGGCCAAGGAAAGGACAATTTTCTTTTAGAAAAATAAGTACGATTGTATAGTTTTTTTTCCTCAAGCATTTATGCTTCTTCCTAAGGGGTTTCATTTCATTCTCTATCCAGTGAGAGAGAGATGTTCTGAGTAATATATATGATTAGGCAGGTGAGTAGCTTTATTACCTAAAACTTATTTACAATTAACTTAATCTAGTAAGAGTATTGTAACTGAGCATCATGGAAGGAGATGTATGATAGGATAATATCTGGTGGATTTGCTCTAATGACCATTGGCTGCCAGCTACAGAGTCAGGACAAAAACTCTGCTAATAACTATGATACACCTAGTTATTCTCTACCATCAGCTGTGCTGTTCGATTTCTACCCACTGCCACCTTTAATTTTATTGTTATCTATTTATCTGACCACTTTATTCTCTGATTCCTTACCGTGCCCCATGCTACTTGTTTTCTTTCATCGAGCAATTTGTCCTATGAAGCCTATTATTATATACTAGGGCTATATGAAATGCAAATTTGCTAAAGTTTTGTCATCTGTGGCAGAGTCTTGTACTACTTGTTATTATATAATAAGCAGGTTGCTATGGTGCATGGCATGCCTACTTTGTTGTCCTGCTTCATAATATTTATTTTTGTGTACAGGATATATCCCTTCTTCATGGTCTTGGGATCAAATTTGTTCTTGTTCCTGGAACACATGTCCAGATTGATAAGCTTTTGGCTGAGAGAGGTTAGCTACAGCTTTTTGCATCCTTACTCTTGTGACCACTTTTGAAGGGCGGGCCTGGTGCAAGCGGTAGAGTCTTACCACCTGTGTCAAGGGCGCCGATGCCCAAGACAGCGGGTCCTCGGCTTCGGAGCTCGTAGCCTTGACGGGTAATGGCGTCGGGGTTGTTGCCTGGCTGCCTAATGGTGAAGGAGGTGAGATTAGGAAGAAGAGAGAGGATTAGGGTTGGTGATTCTTGCTTAATCCAAAGAGTGCCGATTACATGAATTATATAGGCCCGTGGCCTGCTAACAAATGGAAACAAATTCCTTTATTCTAGCAATCCTTGCATGTCGATCTGCATGCCTGCATGCCTAAATCCACGCCTAGCCACTCGGTGCCGGTGATTGCTGCTCCTGGACGCGCGGCCGACGTCGGTACTGGAGGCCCCACATGACATCTCTCCCCCCCTCGACGAGCAGCTCGTCCTCGAGCGTGAACGTGGGGTAACGGGCGACGAAGCTGTCAAGGTCTTCCCACGATGCTGATGAAGCGGGTTCGCCCTTCTAGTGAACGAGCAGCTGGCGAACGCCACGGGCAAGGCGAGCGCGCATGACGCGGTCGGGCTCCGGGACCGCCGCTCCGTGGTGGATCGGCGGTAGGGCCGGTGGCGACGTCGGGGGCGTGCCGACGAACTTCTTCAGGAGGCCGACGTGGAAGACGTCGTGAAGGCGGGCGCGATCCAGCTGCTCCAGGCGGTAGGCGACGTCGTTGATGACGGCGGCGACGCGGTACGGCCCGTAGAAAGGGCGCCGATGCCCAAGACAGCGGGTCCTCGGCTACGGAGCTCGTAGCCTTGACGGGTAACGGCGTCGGGGTTGTTGCCCGGCTGCCCAATGGTGAAGGAGGTGAGATTAGAAAGAAGAGAGAGGATTAGGGTTGGTGATTCTTGCTTTATCCAAAGAGTGCCGATTACATGAATTATATAGGCCCGTGGCCTGCTAACAAATGGAAACAAATTCCTTTATTCTAGCAATCCTTGCATGTCGATCTGCATGCCTAAATCCACGCCTAGCCACTCGGTGCCGGCGATTGCTGCTCCTGGATGCGCGGCCGACGTCGGTACTGGAGGCCCCACATGACAGCCTGTGACCGGAAGGTCCTGGGTTCGAGTCGCGGTCTCCTCGCATTACACAGGCGAGGGTAAGGCTTGCCACTGACACCCTTCCCCAGACCCCGCACAGAGCGGGAGCTCTCTGCACTGGGTACGCCCTTTTTACTCTTGTGACCACTTTAATGGTTTGTGTTCTCAGCCTCTGTTCTCATTTCTGCGTGCTACGTAAGATCATTGCTCAATAGCACTTTTTCTTTGTCCCAGAAAAACATTATATCCCTATCCTCGTTTTCTTTATTCAAACACCATACGATGTGACACCTGAGCATCATGGAAGATAAATAACTTCACTGTTTTGGGCCCAACTTTCAAATTGCTTAATGGAATACTTTTTTAGATGATGGAAAGTGAGTTCCTGCCTTTTGCATCCTCCAGTGCATGTGGCCCAATTTATTATTGCATAGTCTCATTATTAAAGAAAGGGAAATATGAAAGGCAATTGTAACAATTCTATCACATCATCTCTAAACTTGTTGGTGTAGCACCAAAATTAGCATATTCTTAGGTGTTCATATATTTATTGGTGATGCACCAAAATTACAAGTAGTGACTTAAGTTGTTAAAACTGTTGCGGTTCATGCTTTTCTGTTTGCACTCTTAACTAATTTTCTTCTATTTCCCAAGCATGAAATGTTTACTTTGTTTTCTTTATTTCACTATGGCGATGTGTTTGTGGTGTCCAATAAGCTCAGTTTTGTGAATTTCACAGGGAAGAAGGCTAAGTATGCTGGTCGCTACCGTATTACCGATTCAGATTCATTAGATGCTGCAATGGAGGCAGCTGGTCGAATACGGCTAACTATAGAAGCGAAGCTGTCTCCTGGACCACCAATGTTAAATCTCCGTCGGCATGGTGTTAATGGCCGTTGGCACGAAATCTCTGATAATGTTGCAAGTGGAAATTTCCTTGGTGCTAAGGTTAGTACAATCATGCTGGTTCTTTACTGCATATTCTTGTTCATTTATATGTAGATGCAAATTGCATCATCGTATCACATTGTGGGAATAGCTAATGGAAAGAAAATGTAAACACAAATATTTGGGTATCACTATATCAAGAGTAGTGTTTCTTAACAATATTGCTTCTAGTTGTATTGATGAGGTATCGGGTGGAGAAGAAGAGGTATAAGGTGGGGAGACCTTGCAAAAAATAAGAAAAGAAAAGGTGGGGAGGAATGCTTGGGGTGCTATGTGGATCAGTTTTGGGTCTAACTCTGCCACATCCTGAAAAAAAAACGAGGTTTTAGTGTACCTGCTTAATAATGTGTTTTTTGGCAACCGCGCCATGGCACCACCCTTCATGTTGGTACTATACTGTTCCCTTCATGGCACCACCCTTTCAGTGAAATAGATGAAGGAAAACTTATGTTTGCGTGCATCTCAAATGACTTGGACCTTAGTCCTGAGATGCTGAATTGACTTACCTCTCTCTTCTTTTGGCAGAGGCGAGGGGTTGTTGGTGGCATTGATTATGGATTCACTGGTGAAGTTAAAAAAATAGATGTTTCACGGATAAGAGAAAGGCTTGATAGAGATAGTATAGTTGTTGTGAGCAACATGGGGTACTCCAGCGCAGGAGAGGTCTTAAATTGCAAGTATGCCACTTACTCCATTCATATCTGTAGCTTTGTTATTAACTTTAGATCACCGACTCTATGTCAAGTTCTCAAATAATATGTGCTCATCATCCAAGTGACACTACAATTTACCATAAAAAGTTTCATGTGTCTTTACTCGTGGTAAAGCTCTGAGAAAAAAAAAAGATGCAGTGTTCGCAGTAACTCCACAGCACCAGTTCATATTTATAGGGTCTAACAAACTTATTTTGGCTTATTTTCAGTACCTATGAAGTTGCTACAGCATGCGCTTTATCCATAGAGGCAGACAAGCTTATTTGCATTGTTGATGGCCAAATATTTGATGAGCATGGTCGAGTCAATCGTTTTATGTCTATTGAAGAAGCAGATATGTTGATCAGAACACGTGCTAAGCAGAGTGAAATTGCTGCAAATTATGTGAAGGTTGTTGATGAGGAGGACATTAATCATGTCCGCTACCTCCCAATGAAGCATGATACAGAACATGGTTTGAATGTAAGGGACCATATTAATGGGTATACTGTATCTTTTCGGAATGGTGTGGGTTTCAACAATGGAAATGGTCTGTCTGGTGAGCAAGGGTTTGCTATTGGTGGGGAGGAGCGCTTGAGCAGGTCAAATGGCTACCTTTCAGAGTTAGCAGCGGCAGCATACGTATGCCATGTAAGTATTGAGCTTCTACATGTGTTTGAGCAATTTTGCATGATTTATTGATTCCTAATTTTTTTATTGTGGTACAAAGTCTATTATGTTCTCAATTTGGTTTTCCTGCAACATGTTACTCCTGCTTGCTTTGTAAGTTTCCAGCAATGTTCAATAACATCACTGTATGCAGGATGCCCATATTTTCATAAGTGCTATTAAATCTGTGCATGTTTCTACTTTGGGTGACATCTAACTGCACTCATTTGCGTGCACTGTCATGTATAAATATTTTTTGTACAAAATCACTATCTTGCACAAGGCACCTTTCTCCTCTTGAATGACTGTTCTTTTGTCCAATTATCTGAGTTCAGTGGTACACATACTAAAACAGTTCATTCTGAAGCATTACAAATGATACTCTCAACTGTTAGTTCTATTAAAGGGAAAGGTAAGGCAAATCAGAATCTATTCAGACTGCCATGTCATTGTTGTAGAACAATTCTAGCAAAATTTAAGTATGTCTACCATTTCCCTTGTCTAAAGTCTAAACTGTTCTTGGATATGCATCAGTGAATGAAATCTGATGGCTATCATCCTTTAGTTATTATTTTTTTATGATGCAGCAATATGTGACATACTATGTTGTTTTGCTTGTTTTCTTTTGTCCTAATTATAGTTTCCTTATTCCTCTCATGTCAGGGTGGTGTCCAAAGAGTGCATATCGTAGATGGTACTGTTGGTGGATCATTGTTGCTGGAACTATTCTCTAGAGATGGTGTTGGAACGATGATAGCTAGGTATAATAGAACTGTTTTTTCCATGTTAGCTGCCAATGAACATAGCAGCTTGGGTGTGTAAGCCCCTATTGACTTTAGTATCTGTGATGTACATAGATGCATCTTGAGCAAGTGTTTTTTACATGTTTCTCTTAGCTTACAAGAAGTCTGCCCCCTGAACCCTGTTAAAAATAATGCAGTGCATGGAATCCATGTTCGTCTTTTACCTAATTTTCCTATCTTCTTGAAATGGAATGCTTCAATTCCGTGTCAAAATATATGTTAGATGACAGGGCGATTCTCTTAACGAAATCACTGGTGGATATTTGACTATATACCATACTGTATAAAATAATATAAAAAATAATGATCTCTTTCTGGTTTTGCTATTATAATGGTTGTAAATGGCATATTGGCTAGAAAGACTTTTTTTTATCTAGTTTCAAGTTTATTGTTTTACATGTCTGTGGGAGTTCCCAGTTATCTATCATCATAATATGTAAGGGCAAGAAAATTGAATATGATATTCAATTAAAGAATGCTTTAGCATGTGATCTAGTGTAGGACTTCTTGAATGCTCATATCCTTGTATCTTTAACAAGAAGAATGTGGGCATTGATGTTTTTCCTCATATTTTTGTAGGGATATGTATGAAGGAACAAGAATGGCAAGAGAGGAAGATCTTTCTGGTATTAGAAAGATCATTCGTCCTCTAGAAGAATCCGGTGTCCTGGTGCGCCGAACAGATAAAGAGGTCATTATTTTCTCATCTTCTGAACAAAACATCGATGAATTCAGGAGTTGTGTGTGTTTGTGTCTGCCTAGTCATTTATGCAACTGAACAGAGAATTCTTTTGTTTCATTAGCTTCTTGAAGCATTGCCATCATTTATTGTCGTGAAAAGAGATGGCTCAATCATAGCGTGTGCTGCCCTCTTCCCTTTTCTTGAGGATAAATCTGGGGAAGTTGCTGCTATTGCTGTATCTGAAGAATGTCGAGGTCAAGGTCAAGGAGACAAATTACTTGGTATGACTGCATTTTTAGCATATTCTAATTGCTTTGTATGAATTAACATAACTTACTCGGTTCAGGGTAGATAAGTGTTTGTACTAGGGTTTTAGAAATTGGTTTACTTCAACGAGGACCAATGTAGATTGCCTGGGTCAATAGATGACTAGGCTGACTTTTCCCTTTTTTGTCTTGGAATTTGTATAGCATTTTTATTTGATATCGCAAGAATTTATTTCTAAGTAAAAAAAGAAAAAAATCAAGAAGCCAAAGGATCAACTGCAAAAAAACTGAAAACAAGGGATCTTCCCTATTTCCTATTGTTTCCCTAAAAAAGAGTACTGAAGGCAGGTCGGTAATTTCAGAACCAACAAGGTTCTAGAATGTACCCCAAAAAAATGAAAGCCAGGGGGGTCTGATTGTATCTGGAACTTTGGTATAGTATTTATTTATTTTATCCTTTCACTGCAAACTTGGAGAAAGTTTCTCAAGTGCTTCTTTTTCAGGCCTGTTCGCTGCGGCTTTAAGCGGCAGCTGCTTGTAGTTATTTTGGCTGCAATATGTACTGTTACATGAACTAAAAGCCTGCAGCCACTCATGTTCATTTTGCATTTCTGTCGTGTTGGTCAGTATATATTCTGTACAGTATAAACTCATTATTTTTAATTCCTTTGCAAAGATGCATTAAAAGGAAACTAAAGCATCCATCCTGGTTTCATGAGCTATCGAGATTTTAACCAAGAGTGGAGGCCCATGTAGCGCACAGTAGCGACGCGTGGCTGCAAGCTGCTGGTCGGGAGTTTGACTCCCGGTTCACACGCACACGCACACGCAAAAAGATCCCTCATTTAGCCTGGAAGTCTTGGCTCCCTGTGGTGCCTCTTGCGCTGGCCGAGTGCCTTGCTGGCTATGGTGCTGGCCCAGTTTCAATGAACAGTCAGGGTTCGGGGCTTTTGTTGAGGTTTCTACCTACATGCAACTCCCGAGGAGGTTTTCACTGGCTGGTCAATTTTTATCTTTATTTTGTTTTTTTTGGAGATTTTAACCAAGAACATGTATTTGAAATTTAACTAATTTGGCCACCTTTTCTGTTTGCGTGGTTGCATTTGCACTAGTTCTAATTTGCAATGCTAAAATCTAGAACTATTTAGTTTGTGGAGCAGCAAACTACAATTTATTAAGCATTCAAATACTTATCATGGTAATATTTTTTCAGATTATGTTGAGAAGAAAGCTTTATCCCTTGGACTTGAGAAAATATTCTTGCTTACTACACGGACAGCAGATTGGTACGCACTTGTGTTCTAGTAGTGATGATTGATGAGAATGTTTTATATGCTTGGGCAATTTCTTTTTAAGAATACCAGATAGTAAGAATTATTGTGTAGGCAGCTGATCTCAATCTGGTATGCTTTATGTCAATACTGAAACCTAGTCAATCTCAATACATTACTAGGAAGTAGGGACTACTATTAGCCAAATTCTTTGCTTGCCAGGACACTAGGCATCCAAGTGCTCAGAAAACATCCATCCAAACACACATGAGACATGGCCAGACGCAATTGAAATCGTAGCTGATCTGGTCACGCGAGAAAAGGATGTTTCTTATTTTGTTTGATGAATATCCTGCAGGTTTGTTCGTCGCGGCTTCGAGGAGTGCTCGATCGAGTGCCTGCCTTTGGTTAGGAGAAAATGTATCAACCTTTCGCGCGGGTCGAAATACTACATGAAGCGGCTCCAGGCAGCAGAGATTGGGCATATGGCTGTCAACGGTTTTGCCACGAGATGATTAGTGCTGCAAACAAAGCATGTCTACAAATCTAGTTGATGGACATGAGGTTTCTTTGATGACCTCTGCAGTTGCTTGTACATCGTAGAAATATGTATTTATTGTGCAAGTAAATAATCTGTCAATACTTGAAGATGTGGCTGAGGTGTTTCTTGAGTTGATTTCTTCCTGAGCATAGCACTGCTGAAAAGAGTTGTTGATCTGGACAACTTCGCTTTTAAATTGACAAATACTTAGCTGCAAATTCAGCAATGTTCTTGTCAGAGCTCCCTCCTTCCTGCATCGCCTCCTTGGCCTTCTTCATCCATTTCGCCGCATTCTGCCTGAACTCTGTTCTCTCCCCTTCCACCACTTCTCGGATGCACCTCTCCACCTCCTCCCTCTTCAGCAAGCCCTTCTCGTCAAGCTGCAGCCGCAGACCGATCCGCCACGCGCTCTCCACATACTTGGCCGTGGTTGGCTGGTCTGCCGACCGCGGCAAGCCCACCATCGGCTCGCCGGCGACGATCGCCTCCGTCGCCGAGTTCCATCCGCAGTGCGTGATGAAACAACCCGTGGCCTTATGCGACAAGACCTCTAGCTGAGGGCACCAGGGCACGACGAGTCCGTTCTCCCTGCACCTGTCGCCGAGATCCTGGGAGAGCTTCTGCGCCTCGTCGGACCTCACGACCCAGATGAACGGCCTGCCGGAATCGCACAGCCCGTTGCCGAGCTCGTGGAGCTCGTCGGCGTCCAGGCTATAGACGGTCCCGTACGAAGCAAGGACGACAGAGCAAGGGAGTTGCCTGTCCAGCCACTCCATCGTCGGCGCGCTGCTGTCCAGCCACTCCATCGTCGGCGCGCTGCTGCTGAAGAAGCTCACGCCGGAGGTCTTGTTGGACGGCAGCCGGCCGTCGTCGAGGTAGAAGGACGGCAGGGCTGGGCCGACCGTCTTGGCGCGCCACGTCGTCTCCATGTACTCTGCCTCCAGTGGCTCGAGGTCTCGGAACGAGTTGACGAACACGTCGGCGGCGTCCGCGAGGAACTCGAACTGACCGATGGACACCTTGAGGTACTGGGGGTAGAGCTCCGGCGCCACCACGAAGGGCGGCAGGTCCTCCGCTGCCAGGTCCACGGCGACCACCTCCCGCCGCCGGAGCGCGCCCTCGTCCGCCATCGGCAGCGGCGCGCGCCCCGCCCACGCCTCCCCGTAGATGAGGTCCACGGCGCAGGACTGCGACAGGAACGCCGCGGTCGGGACGCCCGCGGCGCTCGCCACCCGCTGCGCCCACGGCATGTGTGGGTCGTACACCGCCACGGCCGGGGCCCTCCCCGCCCGGGCCTCGGCGTCGATGACCCGCGCCAGCGTCTCCGACCCCACGGCCTCCAGCCGCCGGCAGTACTCCACGGGGTCCGAGCACGACGCCATGCCGCCCTCGTCGAACCCGTCGGAGATGGCCGCTACGGGGAAGGGCGCGCCGGCGGCAGGAGAGGTGGACAGCACGTACCGGGTGGTCACCAGCGTGGGAGCCAGGCCGTGGTACGCGAGGCGGTGGCCGAACTGGATCATCGGGTTCATGTGGCCCTACGCCGGCAGGGGCACCAGCAGGACGTGGACGCCGCTGGGCTCTCGGCCGTAACAGGAGCCTGTCGTCGTCATTGCTGCGCTCGAGCTCTCCATTACTGTGGTTGCGGTGCTTGGGGAGGATAGCTGATTAGCATAAGCTATACTAGTGCTATCCTCCCAAAATAAATAATGTTTTTGACTTTTAATCTTCTCATTTGATCGTGCGTCTTATTCAATTTTTTTACGCAAATAACAAAATAATTAAATCATTATTAAAGTATATCTAATAATAGAATAAGTTATAGTAAAATAAATAATATTTATATAAAAAATTTGAATATGATGAATAATCAAACAAGAAGTTTTAGCACAGAGGAGGTATGGCTGCGAGTGTGATCCCTTGTACTACTTGGGCTGCATATTTTATAACAGCTGCTGGCTGCTGCTGCTCCTGCTATGATGGAGCAAGTGACAAGTTTTGAGGAAGGTTCCTGACATCCAATGGCACGACGAGTTTGCTTTGAACATTCTTTGACACTTTGACTGCAATTCTAGGATAACGATAGCGCGAGAGCCACTCGCCACCGTAAAAGAAAGTTTTGTCTATACAACACTTAAATTGGGAATTCCGTTCCCAAGATACAGACTTGTAGCTTAGCTAAGAAGATAGAGTCAAAATGACTCATAAAAATATGCTCATCAGAACAGCATAGCTACAATAGCTGTCCAAGCAGACATCGGTGATTTCTCCATCTGAGGCGCCGGGCCAAAAGAGATGAGAGAGAGAGAGATGAAGAGAAGTGCAGTTACTGGGAACGATCTTGAGGAGAAAATATCTGTTGGACCATTGATGAAGGTTCTATTAGCATGAATCCTTGATGTGCGTAGGATTGGCACGGTGTGATCTCATCGTTGGTGATTATCCGCAGGACAGGAACATGCCTGCTCGGTTCTCGGAAGCAATGGAACGATGCCATGACCCCGTCACGTGCACACACTATTTTTCTGCTAGAATAATGCAGGCAAATTCCAGCTTGTTCTTTCTCCCTCGCAACGGCAACTAAGGAGCGTGTTTAGTTCACCTAGCAGCTCTTAAATTTAATATCATTAAGTCTTATTTAGTCACTTTTTTACTAAACACTGATTAAATGGTACTAAATGACATTTAGCCAACTAATCACCCAAAGTTTACTAAAGGAGACTAAAAGTCCACCCTGGATAGGGGGTGCCCCTGAATTATTGCCCTGTCTAAGCCCACCCGCCGAACCCTATCCGCTCACTCTCAGCAACTCTCGCTCACTCTCTTCCTCTCTCTCGCTCGCTCTCCACTCCTCTCCCCGTCGCCGCTACCACTGCACTCGACGCCGGCCCCGCTCCTCCCCATGCCTCTGTCGTCGTCCCCACTCCTCCGCTCGCCGCATCCACCATGGACGGCCACGGGTTCGAGTATCCGGACTATTTCTCGCGGTCCTCTTCTCCGGTGGATCCCATGGCGGTTGCTTCGTCCTCCTCCCCCCCCCCCGCCGGCGACTTCGGCATCTTCTCCCAGGCGTTGTCGTATGGTGCGGGCTCCTCTGCTCGTCACGGCATGGAGGGGCTAGATCTGAACACCGACGCTAACGGCTACCTCTACATCGATTCATACCAGGGACTCCTCCACGCTGACGGCATTCCTGGTGGACGAGGGCTTCCTCCTCTCCGCATTGGTGCCAGATCTGATGGTGTCCCGTTCGTTTCTCCTCACCCGACCGGAGGAGCGAGCGGATCTGGAAAATGCCCGACGTCAGATCTGCTAGAATAATACTAAGCAGTTCTTTATTAAATTATGTGACTAGGAAGAATATATATATAAATAAAATAAATCTATAAGCGCACAGATAATATACCATTGTAGCACTTTACCCGAAAATATTTTAGGTATCGTTATTTATATTTTTACCACTGGGAAGGTCTGGCACAAACATGTATTGATAACTTATACTATTGATGGAGAAATAAACCATAACCAATGTTCTACTCATAACAGGGGTAAGTCATAGGATAAGATATATATATGATAAGTATTGATAATTGATAATGATAAATCACTTAGAGTACTCCTTTCTATGGCATTAGCATGGTCGGATAGAATATTAAAGGAATAATTGCTAAGTCATTTTTAATTACAAGTCAAAGCATACATTGATTAGTGCAATTATACCTAGTAGTCATTTCTAAGATCATCTTCATATCTATATAAGGGATATTACTAAGGAAGATTAAGAAGAGAGCTTGTGCTTCCTTAGTAACCGAACCCTACGTGCACCTATATTAGGAGAGTGGACTACAAAGGACTTAATGGGAGTGTCACATCCGTGATCTACCACATGACCCAGAATATAGGGTGTATCCGTAGGTAAACAACATATAAGTACCATGCTTACATAATGTCGACCACTCACCCATGGTACCTTAAAGTGAACGTTATACGAACTTATGCATAAACATGATGATAATTTAACTATACTAAGCATATAATCAAAGTAGATGATGAATTTATAACGAAGAACATGAATTAGATGAATACTAATATTGTCATCACAATTGTATCTAGCATATAAAAATAATGGAGGTATAAAAGAGAGGGGGCACAAAGATTATACCAAACCACGCTCTTGACAAGATCGGGAATCCAAGCGGAGCCTGCTTGCCTCTCTCTAGACCTAGCCTAATTAGCTATGCCCTAAAATATGGTGGAGCTCTAAGGATGATTAGGATTTCTGTCTTCTCAAATGACTTATGATTCTGCCTGGGGGTGGCAAGGGCTGGTATATATAGCCCAGTGCGTCCAACGTGAGCCCTTGGATCAAACCAACTTAAAGAACAGTGTAGATGCAACCTAGGAGACGGTGGAGAACCAACATTCGAAGGAGGGACTGATAGGTGGGCCTAGGAGGTCGGGTGGCCTACAGGTCAGCCTCTGCCTCTCTATCTCGGTGCAGAGTCCTCTCGAGTCTTCTAGAACCTTCTGGTGTCCGTTTCACTATGGTTAAGTACGATTAAATCTGACATGTAGGTCCACCTTGACGGTTTTCTAAATAAACCCTGTAGAAAATACAGATTCACCAAAACTAATGAAATTTATTAGTTTAAACCCCTAGACCTTCGTTGGTGATTATATTTATGTCCTTATACATGTTATATTGACGATTTATAATGGTTGTTAACTACCATCAATAAACTCTCCCAAGCTTACCCTTTGCTTGTCCCTTAGCAAAGCTAAACTTAGTGAATGGATCAGGAGTTCAAGGATTTTGAAAACATCAACGCAACTCCTCAAAAGTACACATGCGTTCAAACAAGAATTCTCCTCCGGATTAGAATGAACCGATGTGATTTTCAAACTTACTCATATTACCTTCAACCATGGGGTTTCTCAGTCTTTACTTGGGTCTTGAGCAATTGAAAGACAGAA